AATAGATTGTTTGAGCAAAGTAATCATGATCAGTATACTGGAATGGATGGCAACTGCATGTTGTAAAAATACGAGTGTAGAGGACGATGTTTCGAAAGTATTCCATCTTTTGTATTCAAGTCAATGTGTGTGAAAAAAAAATTAAATAGGACAAGAATTTTGTTTGAAGGAAGAGAGCACAACAAGAGTTGTGGGCTCTTCCCAATAGGGGTGTTTAGGAACAATCCTTCCCCTTTAACCCTGCACGAGAAATTGTTTGACTTTGATGGATTGTTAGATTTTGACTGCAAGGATTATGTTTAACATAGTTGTGTTGTCCGAAAGCCATGAAGGAGATCGGAGAGAGCCCTGGGATCTTGGCGTTGAAAGTTTTCTTCTTCATGTTGATTGGAGTTGTCAGTTGATGTTGTGAAGGGATCAAACCATGTGAACGAAGCATCCAGTTTCAGCATACTGTACTTAGTATTTTAATTTATGTTGATCACATTTTATGGTTAAGGTACCAATTGGTATTATCATTATTGGCATTATAATTATTTGAATTATAATCATTTAAATATAAAGTATAATTGATATTTTATTAATTATTTTTGACAGAAAATCAGCGAGGTATAGGGCCCTTTTCAGGGGGGCTGGGACCAAAGGGTCCAATGCTCCAGTGAATTCTGTTGTGAGGAGAAACTGGAGTATCCAGAGAAACTCCACTATCATGAGACAAATGCTTCAGTGTGTGTAAGCTTTTGCAGGTCTTTATAGTATCCTGGTGGATTGTGGAAGACGTGTTGTGATTGTTTGTTTATCCCTGGCTCTGATTGATGGAAAGACTGAATATGATTTCAACAAATGGGAGCCATAAGTTACTAACCTCTAATCTCCAGTCTTTGTACATTGAAGGATTTATTGTGTTAATGTAGAAAGATGCTTACATTTTTCATGTTTTCCAGAATTTGTCTGTGTCAATGGTTCTAGTTGTATCCCAATATATATTGTGTCTACTTGATATGGTGTGTTCTGCAATGGCTGAATTTTGTATTTTCATGAGTCTTGTGCTGTCTATGTGTTCATTTATTCTTGTCCCAAGTCATCTTCCCGTTTCTATGTGTTTCGTTGCAGAAACATGGGATTTCATAGATGACGTTGTTATGTTTTTTCATTGGTAGCTTTCTGTTTGGTTTTCCTTAGAATGGATCTTATTGTATTGTAAGATTTTCACTGAACATTTATGTTGAACTTCTTAGCTATATATTTGAGTTTTTCACTAAAATTTTACACGTAGGGGTGGTAAATAGTAGTAGTGGTGTTCTTCTTATTTATTTTTTCTGTTGTGATCTTGTTCAGGGAGTTTTTGATGAAGGAGAGGTGTAACCATTCTGTTTAAAACATCTATAATCTTATGACATTCTGTTTTGATGGATGTTTCATCACAAATGCTTTTTGTCCTCTTGTTTAGGCATTGGATTATACCATGTTTTATCGAGGTTGGATGACAGGACAGGGAGTATGGATATCTGTCAATGTGGGTAGGTTTTCTATATACAGTTGTGGTGATTTTTCTCTTCTGTCTGCTGATGTATATGCCAAGAAACTATAGGCTGTTTGTTCCTCTATTTTCATGGTAAAGTGGGTTCTTTTGTCTATAGAGTGAAGATGTTCTAGGAAGGCTGGTAAGTTTTCACAACTATGGGGTCAGATAACAAAGGTGTTGTCAACATGGCATCTGTGGAAATTTTTTGAAAGTTTTTGAGGGTGGAACATTGGTAAGTAGGTCTATAACGTCAAAACTGACAAGAATATCCTGGAATCTGATGTGTAGCTTTCTAAGTTGTTCTATGAAATCTTTCAAGTTGTGAACCTGATGTTCAGTATTCCCTCATAGTGGGGATAGTATAGATACTAAGAAGGTAGCTAGTTGATGGCAAGGTTAACTGAAAAACTCAAATGCATCCCCAAAAAGTTTAACACAGATGTCTGGTGGAAATCTTAGAATACAATAAGATCCATTCTAGTGAAAACCAAACAGAAATCTAATAAGAAAAACAAAAGAACGTCATCTATGAAATCCCATGTTCCTATAATGAAACATATATTGGAGAAATGGGAAGAATATTTGGGACAAAAGTATTAATAAAATAACACAAATACAGCATAAGACTTGTGAAAATACAAAATAAACTGGGATAAAACTAGAATCGTTGACACAGACAAAATTTGGAAAACAAGGAAAATTATAGAATCTTTCTACATTAACACAATAAAGCCTTTACTAAACAGAGATTCAGGATTAGATGTGAGCAACCTATGCAGTCTTTTCACCAATAAGAGCCAGGGATGAACAAACCAATCACAACACATCATCCACAATCTATCAGGATGCTATAAGACCCGTAACATCTTACACACACTAATCTGGCCTTTACATTTATCTTTAACACTATTCTTGCTACCCCAGAATGTTTTTGTTAGTCTTTTATTCTTTCCCAGTTGACTTCCAAACATCTTCCAGCTCAGTATGTCTGCAGTCAACACCCTTTGCTGTTTTGCTCCAACCAAGAAATATCAGGTTTTGTTGCACTTCACTTCTGCATGTGGGTTGACGAGAAATTAAAGTTTCTGACCCCATGAAAGTTGTAACCTGATGTTCAGTATTCCCTCTTAGAGGAGATAAGAGAGATACTAAGAACATAGCTAGTTGATGACTAGTTCATTGAAAAGCTGAAATCCATGCCCAAGAAGTTCAACACAGATGTTTTTCATTAGTAGGTTTCTGTTTGGTTTTCATTAGAATGGATTTTATTGTATTGTAAGATTTCCATTTAACACTTTTGTTGAACTTTTTGGCTAAGTTTTTCAATGAAATTTTGCACGCCTTTCATAGGGGCTTGAAAAACTTTAAGCCAAAATAACTGCCAGATTGGATTGTATTGGACACACTGACCTAAAGATGGGTGACTTTTGAATCGCCATCTGCTACACTTGTGTTTTTACAACAGACAGTTGCCATTCATTCCATTATACTCATCAATATTGATTTTATCTCAGTAAATTTATCTTAGTAACAACAACATCTCTTAATGACACAGTAGCAAGTCTAAAGGGTTATAATGCTAAAAAATAGATTTTTTATACTTGTGATGGGCACTGCGCAGATAACATGTTGTGTAGCTTTGTGCTTAACAACAAACAAAGGCAACATTTTTTTTGTACTTCATAAATTTAACAACACCATAAGTTATACTTAAGGATTGATAAAGTTAGCAATGTCCCCAGTTTTATCTCATAGCAAATAATCTTACCAAGGTTACTACTTTTACCTCAAAAAGTTTGTAATGAGTATTGCTGAAAAGGAATGTTCCTCTTCAACAATACTCTTTATGAACAGATAGATTACGTTGCAATGAGCTCCCCTCTCAATATGTTTATCTTACGGTAGATAAACTTAGCAAATCCTAAGCATTGCAACACCATAAATCGTACATTTTTAGATATAAATGTATAGCAATACATCAAATTTTATGTTAGGATAACTGGACTTCGTAATGCCACTCATCTTATTTTAAGATAATTGAATCTAGCAAAATTATTGACTGTATCCTAAGCTTAGAAGTACTACTAGTTGTATTATCATAGCTGGAACTGCTATGAATTGTATCCTTCTATAACTAACTAGCATTGTATATACCTTTAATTAGATATATTCAGGTAAGGTTTCTAAATATCCCTGCATATGTTCTGCATGTAATTATAGCGTTTTTGTAAACATGCTCTAATTGTCTTATATAGGTAAATGTTGCAATGGCTGTAAACTTTCACTATGTGTCTGTGTTCACTCTCTAGGGGTTCTTATTAGCACATTTCAAGGGATGTCACAGATACATGTACAAATTGATATAAGTTATGGATTTTCTTTCCCTCTAGGTGTTATTTGGAACAGTCAGTGACATATGCAGATTGGGATTATGATATACCATATTTAAACTCTTTGCTTAATTCGAAAAATGGCCATATCAGAATTCTTACTGTCCTTGTCCTGTACAAACATATAGAAAGACTCTAGCTCTAGCAACTAGTTTGAAATCAGATGATTAAGAAGTTAGTGAATAAGTAACGCTTCACATAAACACAATTATTAAGAATAAAAGTTTTGTTTTATATGTCCAATAGTGTGTTTGTTTTTCCTTTGCTATCCAAGTTTGGTGTATTCTTTGCTTCATTTAACTTTTCCAGAATCTGCA